GCTCTGATAAGCTTAAACAGCATTTCTAGGTTTTTTTTTTCCAATTCTTGCAGCACATTTTGAGACATTTCTTGTATCAAAGAATGAATATCAAATTAAAGTGTATTAATGCTTTATCAGAGGGATGGAAAAGTCAGCCCAGTCCTCTGTGTGGTTGGATTTGATAAGATGAAATAACCTGTTAAGGTGTTTGAGGTGTAACATTTATATTCTGATTGTAGGTTCTGCACTCAGCAGCAGCAGCCTGCACTGGCCACAAACATTGATTTTCTCTTAGTGTTCCTTCACTGCCCATAGCAGGATGGTGACTCTCAGCTTCAACTGTAAGGCAGCATTTAAAGGTCAAGGCTTACACTTATTAAACTGAGAGGTTTCTGTATTAAACGCTCAGGTATTTTTCAGGTTGGTTTTGTGCAAACTCTAAGCCTCACTGAAACAATTCCCAGGCTTTGCTCTCTCAGCGAGTCGTTCGTGTGCAGCGTCGAGAGTTCAGTGTCTGAACTTCAGCTTCTAACTGTGGGGGTTTGTTTCTCCCAGATCTAGACGACTTAAAATGTGCCCCGTTTGGAAGCTGTAACAGTGGCTCTGCAGTCAGCAGCCTGGCAAGCTATGAGTGGTCTGACAAAGAGGACATTCAGCAGGGCAAGAGGCTCTCCTGCCCGGCCCAGCCCGCAGGAAGCGCATCCTCCACGGCCACTTCTGTCCTTCAGAAGAAGGAGACCTTGTTTGGCAGCTCAGAAAACATTACCATGACAACAGTTTCCAAAGTGACAACCTTTTCCAGCGAGGATGCTTTACAGGATGTTCCCTTCGCAGCCTTTGCGAACTTTAAAGACTCCGCTCCAATCTCCGGCGCTCCCGGTGCCGACGGCGTCGCAGACTTCGGGGATTTCGCTAGACCTCCCTCAGAAGCTCAGGATGCAGCAGCAGCTGACACGGCCCAGGAGGCAGATTTCCTCACTGGGGGTGTCTCCTCGGAGCTGCGAAGGGAATCCACTGATGACTTTGGAGAATTCCAAAGCGAGAAACCGAAAATCAGCAAGTTTGACTTCTTGGTGGCAACTTCCCAGGGCAAGGTGAAATCCAGCGAAGAGATGATCAAGAGTGAACTGGCTACATTTGACCTGTCCGTGCAAGGTAAGCTGTGCAGGGTGGGGAAGCTCAGGATGTGCTGATTTTTCTAGTTGAATCACAAATTGGCTGATGGGGATTGTTCCAGAGGCTGCTGGAAATGAGCTGAATCTCCTCGTTGATTCCTATGGTGTTTGGAGCAAGGGTTTTTCTACAGGAAAAATATTAATTGTGCCAAAAACTTGCAGGAATTGAAAAACTGAGGAAATTTATGCCAGTTGCTGAGTAAATAGACAGATTTGTTCTTCCGGAGGAGTAGGACAAGCCTTGCTGCCTCTTTATTCATTTCAGATACTCTATGTCTGTGTCAGTAAAGGAATAACTTGTTTATAACCTGTTTATAACTTTTTAGGGTCTCATAAAAGGAGCCTGAGCCTAGGGGACAGGGAAATCAGTCGCTCCTCACCTTTGCCAGCTCTGGAACAGCCGTTCAGGGATCGCTCCAACACCCTGAGCGAGAAGCCAGCACTGCCTGTCATCAGGGACAAGTACAAGGACTTGACTGGGGAGGTTGAGGTAAGGAATTAGCTGCAACACCAGTAAATTGGCAGAGACATCATCAGGGTGAGCTCCAGGGGGTTGTGCATCCAACTTTTCAGGGCTGTAGCTGTTTGACTGTGGGTCTGATGGTGTCTGGGTACAGTTGGATGTGGAGTGTAAACTGGGAGTTTCTTCCCTCACATCTCTGAAGTCCTGTGAAGTGGGGGAAGTGCTGTTGTCTGAAGCTCGCTCAGAATCACTTGACCTTGCAGCCTAAGCTTATAACTGGAAATTAGTTACAATTTAAATCTAATCCAGCTTTGGCACCGAGACCTTTCACTCTGGGAAATGGCATCACTTTTTTTGGCTGCCTGGTAGTTATTTCTCTTGCTCATCCTGAGAGGAGATGGGAAAAGGACTCAGATTCAATTCTGCTAATCCCCATCTCTAGAACATCAGGCTGTGACAAATGTGGCAGGAGGAGGTATGTGCAATGAAACTCTTTACTCACTCTTACATGTTACTCCTTTTGAACTGGTTCTGAGTTAGAGTTTGGGTGCAAAGAGAATGTTGAAAGAATGGGGGGAAATTAGGAACAGTTATGTTAAAGATCCACAGAGCTGATCTGGAAATAGTCTCTTAAGATTCTGTCTGTTGTGTAAGAGAAAGAGACAGAAATGTGTGTAGGGACAAGGCTCAGCCTGTCCTGTCCTTTCCCCCAGGAAAGCGAGAGATACGCATACGAGTGGCAGAGGTGCCTGGAGAGTGCTCTGCAGGTATGTGTGTCACCTCCTCCTCCTCCTCCTCCTCCTCCTGCTCCCTCCTTCCTGCAGGTCCCTCCTCGCTCAGTGTTTAAACCCAACAGGCAGAGAAGGGGTTGGGATCAGCCCTGGGAATTACAATTCTTAAACCAAAAGCTGTCACCCAGCAGAGGCATCAGCTGAGCACCCTGCACTAATCTCCTGGCACTGGGGATTAGTTTGGCCTTGCCCAAAACATTCCAGCTCGCTGGTGAGTGAGGTGTTCCTGTGCTTGGGTGCCCAGTGTGGTGTGTTGCTCAGGGCACTGGGACCAGTGTTTGGCCCCTCAGAGCTCCCTGAGGAACATTTGCTGTTAACACGTGTCAGATATTTCACTGCCAGATTAGTTCTCCTTAAAATTTCTTTTTTGCAGCTGAGCATTAGACAGCCCAAACTGTGAATGCTATTACTAATCTGGGTGGCAGTGTATGCCTCCTCCAAAAACTCTTACTTTGGTACTGAAAATATTGGGGGGAATACATTAAGGTTTTAAATGTTCACACTTTCCCTGATCGACTCAGTGTAAGCATATAAAAACATGTGATGGAGTGTGGCAATCTTGTCTTATTTAATTTGCCTCCTTTTTTTTGTGTAACAGTTTCTGCTGGGGACAATCTTCTTTGTAATAATTATCTGCAGGTAGATAAAACCACATCATTTCATGAAATTCATTTTCACCAGGTCATAAAGAAAGCAAACGACACCTTAAATGGAATAAGTAGTTCATCTGTTTGCACTGAAGTTATCCAGTCTGCTCAAGGCATGGAATATTTACTGGGTATGTTTTCATTTTCCATGTGTTTTACCTTGAGAGTTCTTTGAAAAACAGGAATATAGAATCACTCTTCCCAAAATGGCATCACTTTTTAGCTTAGTCTTTGCCTGCACCTAAATAATGAACAATTCTTTGCTAAATAAATGCAGCTCCTGCTTTGAACTAACCTCTCTTGTGCCATCCCTATTTTTGCCATCTGAGTTAAAGTTTCGGGATCCAGTGAATTCTCTGCTATCCTTCACATCCACAGGGGTTGTTGAAGTCTACAGAGTAACCAAGAGAGTGGAACTGGGCATCAAAGCAACTGCTGTTTGCAGTGAGAAGCTCCAGCAGCTGCTGAAGGATATTGATAAAGTGTGGCACAACCTGATCAGCTTCATGTCACTTGCAGCTCTAACGGTGAGGCCAAAAATAAGCTGCCTGGCTACTGAAAGAAATGTCAGGACTGCATTTAAAGGGGCTTCACAGTTTGTATTTTTGCTCCTGCAAAATGGAAATGTATTTGTGAAATCCAGTTCAGAGCTCTGGCAGAAAACAGTTACTTGTGTACAAACATTGTGTTGTCTCACTTAGCATCTCAGTGGTTTGGGTGATGTCTGTGGACATCTCCAGTAAGGGAAATGTAGTAAAATTCAAATAAGGCATTTTATTAAGCCAAAATAACATGGACATATCTTGTCTTTTAATGGCCCTGCAGTTAGTTTTACTGCTCACAATTCCAGAGCACACAATGCAGCAACGCAGGAGTAGCTCAGCTGTTTTCCCAGTTGGAAATGCCCAAGTTTGTTTTGGTTCCTGCCACAGAATACACAGTTTTTCCTCCTCTGAACTGCCAGGAAAAGCTCCATTGCTCCCAGACAGTCTGGTAGGAGCTGGAGAGCTTTGGGCACACCAGGGCAAGTGTTCCAGGCAGAGATGGTCCAAGGGGTGAGCAGGAGCATCCCATGGGAAGGGACTGCAGAGGAACTGGGAAAAAGGGGCACACTGGGGCCAGGCACAGAGTACACACAAATAGAAGGCAGGAAAAAAATCTCCTGCCATGGAATTCCTTGGGGGTTTTGTGTGTTTGTATTTCAGGAGATAAAATGTGCAAAATGACTTTCTTTAACCATGATAGAACTCATATTTTTAGGGAATTATCTGTCTGTATTGCTTGATATTGACTTGCATAATGTTTCCCTTTAACTCAGTGTATTCCTGAGTAACTCCCAGTTAGTATCAGCACTTCACATCAAGCATCACTGAGCAGATCATTACCATGGGTAGGTTTTCACTGAACATTTTAATTTGTGGCTTCCTCCTCACGCTGCAGCTGTGGCCACTGAAGGGTTTTGCTTCCCTATAAACACTCATTTGTAAGTCAGGCCTGGAATACTTGGTTTCTGCTTGAAATCTCCAGCTCCAGCTCACTGCCAGTCCCTGCAAAGCAGGTATTATAAATGATCAGTCCCTTTTACACACCTATTGCATATTTAGGTTGCCCAGGGAGGCTGTGGCTGCCCCAACCCTGGCAGTTTATTCCAGGTTGGATGAAGCATTGAGCATCCTGCTCTGGTGGGACATGTCCCTGCTCAGGGCAGGGGGTTGGGGCTGGATGATCTCTAAGCTCCATTCCAACCCTTTCACATACTATGGAACTATGATTTGAAACCTCTCCAGGTATTTTGGTGATGTCCTGTGATGCACAGAGCCAGGGAAATATATCCTCCCAGTATTTCACAGCTTGGCAGAGGAAGTTGACAGACCTGGATTCATCTGTTTGAACTGTGGCATTGTTGATAGCTACAATCTCAGATGCTATCAGGTTCCTGTCCTGATTTACACAGGTGGATTAAAATATAGTTCTTAAAGTGCTTTGCCTTGGAAGATTACAGGGATTACCTGAAAGTCCAAAGCTTGGTGACGTCTTCTCCAAGCCACAGCAGCTCCTGCCTGGTAGCTCCAGCTGAATTTTAAGCACATTAGGAGCTGCAAACAGTGATTTCCATATGTACACACAGTCCCTCTGAAGTTGTTCAAGAAACAGAGACTCCTGTGAGTCCCAAAATCATCCCTTTTTGGCTGTGGAAGGGGTGGAACACTCACCTCCTTCGCTGGTGCTGCAGTCAGCGATCCCAAATGATGCTGAAGTGCCAATTAACTGGAGAGGATTCTAGCTCCCAGGCATGTGCTTGGAAAGGTTAATTTTATCTTTAAAAGGGTTTTGTTACAAGGTAATTTTATGCACAGCCCTGTGGTTTTTCACAGCAAATTGCAGGATGACCTTCTCATTTGCTTCACTCATGCATTTGGTAAACAAATATTAGAGTGCCTTTATTAATTTGATTGATCTACTTAGAGATTAAAGGGTGGGGGATTTTTTGCAGGATTCCAATTATTCCCCAGCGTGAGCAGCATACCCAGAGTGTGGATTGCGAGACACAAGTCCTGGATCACACCACTTTTAAAGCTTTCTGCATTTCTAGTCGGTGTTGTTATTCACACCACTATTTCCATGCAAAATGTGACCAGTTTATACCATCCTTACACAAAATTTTAGCTGATCACTGGGGCTGAAATGTGAGGTGAAGCACTGGAAAAGTGATTCTATTAATTTATTATTTACAGGCTTATTCTGCCATTCTTTCCCTCTCTCACCTGAGCTTGTGTGTGGCTGGTTAGGTGAACTCCATGCTTGGGTTCACCTTAATGTTCCATTTTGTACTGCTCTGCCGTGTTATAAGCTCAGAAAATACCCCAAAGGTGTAACACCTGCCTGTTATTGATCAGGCAGTGACACAGGGGCCAGGACAAGGAGCCCTAACACAGGATCCAGGAAAAGTGCCAGCGGTGAGAGCTGCTCCCTCCCCACAGCTGCACAAATACCTGCTGCATCCACTGCTTGTCTTCTCCTTCCCTGTTTGATGTGGGAATGTGCAACTGAGGAATTCTCCCCTTTGTAGTCCAAGCCCTTTTCAAGGGAGTGTTACAAATAAGTGCTGATGGAGGTGGCAAATCCATCCTCGTGGCTTTGATTGCATCCCACATCAGGTGATGAGGAGATGCCCGAGGTGCCCCTGCTATGCTGTGTGTGATGTGGTTCTTGCTACTCAGTAACTCTTGTCATGTTGGCTGAGACTTTCTCAGTTACTGAAAATGCTTAAATGTTAACTGTCTTGTTGCTTTCAGCCAGATGAAAACTCCCTGGATTTCTCTTCCTGTATGCTGCGCCCAGGGATTAAAAATGCCCAGGATCTTGCCTGTGGAGTGTGTCTCCTGAACGTGGATTCCAGGAGCAAAGTGAGTGTGATGGTTAAACTCCTGTTTAATGTACACTTTGGACTTGCATTCATAGAATCCCAGAGTGGTTTGGGTTGGAAGGAACCATAAAGCTCATCCAGTCCCACCCCATGCCATGGGGACATCATCCACTAGCCCAGGTTGCTCCAAGCCTCATCCAGCCTGGCCTGGAACACGTCCAGGGATGAGGAATCACTTCCAGGGATGGGTGTGTTGAAAAAAAATTCATGGCTATAATTTGTAATGGGAAGAAACAAAAGCAAACTCTGACCTATAGTTGGGACTCAGATAAAATCCCATGATCAATGTCCAGCATTCCCTGGGCTTGGAGAGAGGGTTAAATTGTTTATTAAGGGGAAGAAACTGGGATGCCAAGATTTTTAAACCTTATTTTTTTAACGAATAAAAATCTTTTCATGGCTTTTCTGTATGAAATGGATCACCAGAGGGGAGTGTTGCCCTTGGCAAAGCTGGGAGGGACTCCCAGGACACCTGCAGAGTTGTGCCAAGCCATTAGCATTACTGGCACTTTTGCTGACTTTTTGGTTTCAACATTATTTCAGAAAGAAGAGAAACCTGTGGAAGAGCTTCCTAAAAAAGTATGAATCTGTAAAAAGCATATCCTTTCTAGCCTCATTCTTAGCTGAGTGTGGAAGGCTGAGCTGCCAAGTGCCTCTCAGCTGTCATTGATCGTTCCAATCATCAGTTCTCCTCTTCTGGTCATTTTTTGGTGATTGTTAACACTTGATCTGATCAACTAACATGCTCCAGAGCCTTCCCTTTGTCTTGTCTGCATGCCTGTAGCTTGTGACCAGCTCTGGTTTTGTGTTCCTCTGTCGTGTGGTGAACACCCACTGCAGTGAGTTGGAGTTTGTGCTGCCTGAGTGTCTATGCAGAACTGGATTCCAGGGCTTTGTGCGAGGGATATCGACTTCTGCCTGGATGTAGCAGGCAGTGGCATTTTTAGAAATCTCTGCAGGAAATCCAGGGTGTGGGGAGCAGGGCTGGGATAGTTTTTAAATAGGAGCTGTGAGGCATTGGAAAGTATCTCCTAGCAACAAACACCAAGGTGGTTTCAGCCTGTTCATGGCTTCACACGCTCTGCTCAGAGGCTCCTATTGTAAAGCAGCTTCAATTAACAGGAGAAAGTAGATGAAATTCAACCTGAAATAACACTAATAGCCACGATGGCACCTGCCTAACTCGCAGCAGAAGTGGAGCCAGGGAGATAAATGCAGGAGCTGCCTGCTGCCTGGCAGGACAGGCTTTTACCTCCTTAGGGATGTGGAGCAGAACTAGAAGATGCAGAAACCCAGGTGAGTTAGCTGCCAGGTGTGAGATCAGGGAGGTGCTAATCAGCTGGCTCCTTCCTGCAGGTGTAAGTAGGCTCAGGGCTGATGCTGAAGGTTTTGTCCACATGCTAAACCAAAATATAGCCAAAATAAGGTATAGTTTTTGGGCTGCTGTGCTCAGGGACGTGTGCTGTGCCATCTGTGCCATCCCAAGGTGACACCTCTGCTGTATCCATCTCCCACTCTGCTTTTTGATCCTGGAGTAGATCACACTGTGACCCTTGTTTCAATCCTTCCCTTAGGCCTTTAACTCTGAGACAGACAACTTCAAGCTGGCGTACGGAGGGCACCAGTACCACGCTAGCTGTGCCAACTTCTGGATCAACTGCGTGGAGCCCAAACCTCCAGGTCTCATCCTGCCAGACCTGCTCTGAAGGCGGCTGAAGATGCAGCTTTGGCTCTAGTAATGCAGGACTTGGGGTAACTGGTGGGCTGGGTTGGTGGAGAGGCTGGAGCTGGGGTTTGGCTTGGCAATGTTTGGACTCTAACAGGTTAAAGCCACTGTGACAGTGAGAACTCACTCGAGATGGCCAAGGCTTCCGAAGTAACCAGGACAGAAAATGCAATATGGCAAAAAAATCGTGGCATTTCAGTCTTTCTCAAGATGAAAACATGTTAATCCTGTGTGAAATCAGCCTGGTAACCACATGCATAAACCTGGGAGAGGCCTGAGCTCCCCAGAGCCCCTGGAGCTCTGGGCTGGTGTGTGTCCAAGTGACCACTTCCATACTTGAAGTCCATATTTGCAAGCAAATCCCTTCTTGAATGTTTTTGGGCTATGGACCATGATGTTGTTCTTTAAATATTTGCTGCTATGATATCACAGTGCATGAGTCACAGCAGTGTTCCAGGCAAAATGAATTATTGACTCAGGAGGAGTGAGACTGCAGAGAGCTGCTGTGTATTTGTACTTCCACTGCTCCGTGTGTAAATTGTACTGTATGAACTGGAAAAACTGTTGGAATTTTCCCTGTAATACCTGGATTCTCTAGTACAGGCAGCTGGAGCTTAAAACTTACAGCCTTGTTGTAAATACAGATAAACTTCCCTGGGTTTGTCCTGAGCTCCAGGTAGGATTTGTTTCTCCTGACCCTTTGGCAGTTGTATGGCTGCGTCGCTGTTGAAAATTGGGCTGTGCTGATGCAGCACATCTGCTCCTGTACGGATACTTTACCTTTTTTGGATGTGGAGATGCTTTTCCTGATGGGCTGTCTGTGTGGAACTCGGGCTGGTGCTGCCTGTGGTAACGTGTTCCTGTGACTCAGAGCTGGCAGCACTAGGTGGCCCTTGGCTCCTGTGACAGGGGTGGGATTTAACCCCCAAGGGGATTTAACCCTGGGAGTTGGTGGTCTTGGCAAGCTGGTTTGGGAGCTGGATGTTCTGTACCTGCTGGTTAGTTGCTTATGGCAGGGACACACCTCTCTGGACAGGAGGTTTGTGTCACAGACTTGGAGCTGTTTGGGTTTGTGCTGTGCTGGAGTCACTGCTGATACTTTAAATCTGATGAGAATAAGTGTTATTAATTGACTTTAGCACCTTGTCTACTCCCCTAACTCCTGCAATGGTTTATGATTCCTGTGTCGAGATTCCAACCTTGTGTTCAATAAAGAGCTCGTTTGGTGTCCAAGCAGCCTGGGAAGCTGTGATATTTGTCTCACAGTGTAAGTGGGACCTGCTTTGTGGCTGAGAGCAAAGAGCAAAGGAGAGGGAATATTTTCCAGGCAGTTAGGGTACCATCTGGAAAAGCCCTCGGGGAGCAGGAAGGAGGGATCCTCCCCTGGGATGCAGTGGGAGTGCTCCGAGCAATGCCAGCTGAACCACAGCTCTCCCCATTTTGGCTCTGTGGATTTGAGGCTGGAACAAGTGGATTTTGAGGTGGAAAACACTTGTGTAAAATCTCCTTTGCTGGATGAACACAAGAGAAGCTTTAGCAGAGAAATACCCACGAGCTTTAGCACTAATATAACCTCTCATGGGGATTTCAGGTGAATTCTGTGTTTCCTATTAGGAAATATCATTTGTTTTTCATAGATCTAACTTTCCCTTGTGGTTAAAACTGAGCCTTTGATGCCTCCTTGGCTGAACATCAGCACCTTCCCCTCCCTTTGGGACTCAGGCAGTGTGTGGCTAAAGTCTGTGGAGTAATTCAGAGTGCAGAATTTTTACCCTCCACTTTTGCATATTAAACCCACTGTTAAATCCTACACCTCCCATTCTCTAGGTGAGGTCTAATCTTGTGAGCAGATTTCAGGTTTTAGCATTTTTTTCCCTTTCAAATGTCACGTGTTGGAATGTCTCCAAATTAACAATTAGCCTTGATTTTTACTCTCCAGTTCCTTCCTTACCATTTCTCTGGCTGCAGTTGAAGTCATGATAAAAATAGGGAGCTGAGTCTCCTGTGCCTGTCACTGGAACTGGGATGGAGCCAGGAAACCAGAACCAGGAGCAGCTGATGGCAAAGCTTCTGTGGGACAAGGCTCATCTAGAAAAGCAGGAGGGAACTTCCCTGAGACCCTTGGGCCTCATTTAGATTCTGAACCTTCAGCATCCTCAGGGACCTCCTGGAGCCTGGGAACTACTGAGCTCTGGGTCCTTCCCTGGGTGAGTCTAAAACAGTGGGATTTGCTGTGGGTTTCCAGTACATGGGAAAGTTCTGGGTCAAAAATACAGGCCAAAACATCTGTATCGAATTTTCACTCATCCAGACTCATTTCAGCCAGGTCTGGTTTACCAATTTCACTCTGACCTAGACTTTTATTCCATCCAGCTCTGGTTTTATGAAATTCACTCTGATCTAGACTTTTATTCCATTGCTCATGATCCCAGCGAGGTTGAGGCCACCGATGCACTTTTGTGCTGATGATCTCAGTAGTCATTTTATCCCTGATGCCTTTTAGTCTGGGAAAACCAGGAACCTGCTGCTGCCATCCTGCCAGTGTGGGTCAGCTGGGAGAGCACTTCAACCACATCTGCTGCTCCGCAAAACCTCAGCTGAAACCAGGACTGAAACGTGAAACAGCCAAATGAATTGCCTTGGCCTGTGGGATGAGGAGCAGGGATTGCAGGAGGATGGAGGAGCTGAGTGCTGGGAACAGCTCCGTGCTCCTGGAGGCTGAGCCCAGCTCTGTTTGGATCCCCTGCTCGGCGTTACGCCGTGTTCTCGCCGCCGCCGGAGCTCCATTAGCGCCGTTGGGAACAGGAAACCGACACGTGTTCTGGTTTAATCTTTATTGATTTTTGTTCTTTTTTTACAAGTATAGAATCTCATTTAAATCAGAGAGCGAGTGCAGCATCCAGCAAATCCGCCTGCTCCTCCTCCGGAGGCAACACCGGACACCAGCGGCTCCCGGAGGGAGGAATGCACTCGCCGTGCTCTCCTGGGCTCCAAGGAAACCAGTCCCTTCCCATCTGCTGGGGGAGCGACAGCCAGGAGCCACGGGAAGGCTTCTCCCACGGAAAGGCTGGGGTTGGAATGGCTCCCAGCACACAGAGCGGGGCAGAGCTCCTCCTGCCCCGTGCGGGAGCTTGGCCCGATCACCGTTGGCGCGGAATTATCCTAGAATGCAGCATAACCTTGAGGCCGTGATGGAGTGGTTGGGAATGGGCTAAGGCAGATCACCACCGAACTCGGAGCTAAGGAATCGAGAGGATTCACCCACTTCCAGCTGACTGCGTGATGGAGCACAGCACAGCCAGCCCGGCCTGGGGCGGTGCAGGGTCCTGGCCTGGCAAGAGGGTCACCCTCTGGCTTCGCTCTTCAGCCGCAGACGACACGATCTGTCCACTTCCCTCACAGAAACACCAGCATTTTCCAGTCGTTGTATTCCAGGGACGACTGCCCTGGCATGGGATGAGTGAAAAAGGATCTTATCTGTTGATTTGATTTGAATCATTCCGGTTTTATTCCACTCATGGCCGACACGGACTGAGTCACTTAGGGGGGTTTTTTTTTCTATTTTTTTTTCTAACTTTGAATACAGATTAAGAGCTGACTAAAAGATCTCAAACACTATATACTGAGAGTCACTACGGATGGTAAAAGAAAACACCAGCACTAGCACCACAGCCCTGTAATTCCTGCCTTCCTGGCACTTGGAAAACCCACGGCCATGGAGCAGGGCATTAATCACTCTGTGCTAGTGCCTCTCCCGAGCCACTACAGGGTTCTGCAAGGAAGCAAACAAGCTATAACAAAATATCCAGGCTACTACCGCGGCACAAAGCGCACTTGGGTCGTCGACTCTGCCAAACGCCTCGTGGGCTGTTCCTTGGAGGGTCCTAATCGACTGCCTAAAAAGGGGAGGGAGCTTTATGGGAGGGATAAACTCATAGGGAGACCTGGTTCTGCTAACTCAGAGATGTGGATGCGAAATCCCCATAGAGAGAAACGCTTCAAAGGGAATCGTTGGCCTTGCAGGTTGGTGAGGTGAGAATTGAGGTTCTGCTGTATGGTAAAGAACCAAAAGTTGGCTGTGGAAGGAGAAGGGAAAGGCTCCAGTCTGGTTGACTCAGAACAGCGTGTCCCTTCCGTTGTGCTTCCCATCGTCTGCAGTCCCTTTAAATTCCCCAGTAAGGCATCAGGGGTCTCCTCTCCCTCTCATAAACGTCTGGGATGATGCCATAGGGTGTCTGTACCATTTTAACCGACGTCTTCCCAAACAGCTTCCTCTCGTAGTCTATCAGCTGCCTCCAGAAGCCCACGTTGGGCCGGATGACCGGGCGCCGCGACTTCACCCAGTTGTAGGCCTCGAAGAGGGAGACCTTGTGGTACTTCATCAGGTAGGCGATGCAGAGCGTGGCCGAGCGGCTGACGCCGGCGGCGCAGTGCACCAGGGTGGCCCCGTGTTTCCGCGCCACGCTGTGGATCTTGTCGGCCACGCTGTCGAAGTACAGGGAGATGGGGGCGTTGGGCATGTCAGCCAAAGGCACTTTGACGTACTCAAACTGGGGCCAGTTGAAGTTGGGGATCTCGATGGTGGCGTTGATGATGCAGGTGATGCCCCGGGAGAGCAGCAGGTGCCGGTTGGAGGCGACGCTGCCCCTGCTCAGGTACAGCGAGGGGGTGATCTGGGCGATGCCCCCCAGGGCGCCCTCGGAAAGCATTCGTGGAGCCATCAGAGTTCTCGGTAAGGAGTTGTGGCTTCTGGAGG